ATACTTCCCCTTATCCAGCCATCCGTTTTGCATGTAGAGCTAAGATTGCCCCAATCACAATGTCACATTTCTACATTATTTTATTTTTAATTTGTTTTCTACAAATTATTTTAACATCAAATTACGTACGTCCAATCCTCTATTAAACTTTCACTAGCAAAAAATGTAAAAAAAATATTTTAAATAAAATAAAATTACCAAAATACCCCTAAAAATTTCAAGGGGTATTTTTGGTCATTATATTTTATCAAAAATTTATTTTCAACATTTTTTTATAGGTGCGCTCCAATAAGAAGATGACACATACCAAATTTCATATTCATACAATTTGTATAAAAAAAACTAAAAATAAAATACTTTGAGTCGTTGGATCTAAGATCAAATGGTGAGTAGCTCTCTTGATTAAACTTGGATGGCTGGATGGTAGGGGAAGCATTGATTTTCTATGTTGTAGGGGAAGTATAGAAACCTTTTCCAAAAGAATATGGTTTGGTAGTATGAGTACTGAACTTAATTTTTTAAGAAGAAAAATGAGAAAACTAGTTCCATGAATTAGTTTATATTTTTTATACTTTTTTAAAAATGATTTTATTGGGTACTAGAAGTATTGAACAAAACATTAAGCCAATAAATTATTTAGTACTCCCAATGCCAAACACTATTTTTGCAAATAGACTACAACTAGTAAGTTGAAAAAACAAATCTATATAAAATAAAAAAAATTCAGGTATTTTTTAAAGATAATGTTTTGATAAGGCTGCATCCTTATCAAAACAAGTAAAGCCTCGTCTCAAAACTCATCAGAAATTGTGGTTTTGGCATTGGAAAACCTTCATATCGATCATCTCGGGCTTGACCATTATGGCTGTAAAAAAAATTTAGGATTTCAAGTCCTAAAAATAGCATGTATTGTAATATATTAAGTAAACCATCTATTTCTCCCTAACACTAAGTGTTCATGGATCTGCAAGATTTATATCATTTTTTTAGCTTCAAATTTTATATTCGGCATTGAAAATTGATTTAAGAGTCATCACAAAGATTTTTGATGCCCAGAGTGCGATCTGGACGAGGATTCGAAGTGAGCCTTTATTTTGTTTTCATAAAGCTTAGGTCTTATAAACTGCATCTATTTTTTAAATGGGTGAGGTTTGCACAACATCAAACAATATAAGGTGCAACTCTAAACTTTGTCGTAAGATGCAATTTTGATGTGGAAATATTTTTAGATGTCCCGAGATTCTATTTTCATCTCTAATTAAAAAAAAATGAACTTCAAAGAATTTTCAAATCAAGTAGATCTATAAATGCATGAAAATAGACTGTCTAGATAATATCTTGTAAGATGTACTATTTTTGGGACTTGAATTTTTTTTCATTTTTTTTTTTTCATATCCATACATCTCGATATTGAGATAATCAATTAGATGATTTTCTAATGTCAAAATAGCCTTTCTCAATGGAGTTTTAAGATGCAACTTAATTCTACCCTTTAAGGTTGACACCTTACATGAATTTTTTATTTTTAAAAATAAACATTATTTTAGTTAATTTCGCATACTTTTCTGTTTGTTTGAAAGTTGGTTGCTCGCTAGGCATATTAACTTCTCTACGTAGTGTTTTCTACCCATGGAAGTTAAATGCATGGCGCGTTTAATAAAGGATTTAATTTCTATAAGGCCTAGGCTTTATGAAAACCAAGTAAAGCCTCACCTCTAATCCTCATCCAAAAAGCACTTATAATTTCTATAGGGTATGTTTGACAACTGGAAGTTGGTTGTTATCTGGAACCTGGAAGTTCCTTCTCCCTGTGAAGCTGGATGTTCTGGCTCCTAGTACTAAAAGGTATTGTGTTCGGTAACTTGTCTGAAATTTAGAGGCAGCCTGAAAACCTGTGTTTGGTACCACCCATAACTTATTAAACCTGCGGACATGATAATTAATCAATTTGATCCATACGTGGAAGAATTTGTATTTGGGGGTAATATTGGTTTTTTTTAACGAAAATCTAATAGGTCATCCACAATAGATAATAGATTTGTTAGTTAATAATGGTTTTATAACGATTTCATCATATTATTATTAATGTTTCTTAATTCTATCAAAAAAAACCTCTTCTATCCAAGCTCCTTATATATGAAATACAATTTTTAGTGTGAATCGGATTTGTAAATTAATGTATACGCATCAAATTGGATTTGTTTAGGTTTTAGAGAGAAGGAACTAGAGTCCGTACAAGAGAGCTTGGGTTAAAGTATAAGGAAAGATGTGCTTCATTTGTTAATAATATTAATTTCCTACATTGTATATGCCAAATTGAGAAGAACACGTAGATTGAATATCCCAAATTCCACGGCAAACTATTCTACAAAATATTTGTCACTAACCATTAATCAATTGCGCTATAAAGGTCTCATATCACTAATATATGGTTCTCAAGTGCACAAATATAATGGGAGACTTTTATTTGCATATGTTTTTTTTTTTTTTTTCAATTGGGATGCGATTTCATCTTGTAGTTGTACTCCTTCGACATGGTCCTCATTACTTTGAGTTGCTACTGGATCACTTATGATTTCAAAATTTCTTTCTCAAAATTGCAAGTTGGACAAACATGGTCTGTTACTTAACTACTATCCTGCTATACATAAGAGTTACAAAAGTGAGCTACCTTCAGGCATTTTTAATCAACTGGTCCCTCTTTCCAAAGCATCATATAAGATCTTGGAGTCCGATGCAAATCTTTCCCATCCAGCATGTATATACTAGAATTGCAAATCGAAACCCACATTTTGGGATAATACATGCTTCCTTTATGAAATCGTCTATGCATGTTGCTCTTAATCCACTCTGGGATATGTGTTCCATCAACATCAATTGCGCCTACGCAATCCTGATAAAAAATGCAACAAGTTTTTTAGCTATTGCAATGAAGATTTTTTGTTAAAATCAGTGCTAGCAATTTTACAATAAATTTTAAAATTGAGTACTATTAGTTACCTTGAAATATGGGTCATATCTTTCATTACCAGCAATGTGAGCTGGTGCTTTTGTCCCTCGAGGCTGTATAAATAATTTTCCTATAACGCAAACACCTTAGTACTTCATTGAAATAATAAATAATGGTTTGGCCAGACTGCTGAAACCGAATTTGTGTCATCCTATTACGTTCGTCATTTGTCGCAGTGCTTATGAGTATGGTTACTTGTTCTTCAACTGACACATATATTTTGCAGTGTGGTCCTGTCTCTTATAAGCCTACAAAGTTCAATGATGTTCCATACACAATAGAGCAAAGCAATTCCACTCATGTCCATATAATATACGGGCAATAAACTCCGGACCTGTGAATGGAGCATTGTGAACTCTCTTCTTCATTAAATATGTATTGTAGTACCAAAAGGTCACACGGCATATAAACCACATAGTAATGCATTGAATCTAAGCTGCTCGAAATGATCCATATCATCCATAACTAGAAATTAAAGTTGAGAGGACATATATAAGTTCAAAGATGAAAATTTCACTTTCTACAAAATAGAAAAACACAAACACACATGTCAATCATTTGTCATCAAATAGATAATATCACATTTTATACAAACGAAAAAATAAAATAGTAATATCATATTTTCACCAAATAGAATTACCTATGTATATACACCACACATAAACATAATGTCAAGCATTTTCATTAAAAGGACGTTTCATTTCATCAATAGAAAAATTACTCCAAGACATGAAGTTCATTTCATCCATTCATAAATAGTTCAAGACAAAAAAAAGAAAGAAAAAAAAGAGTGCTTAAACTGCCAAAAGTAAGCTTTTATGAGTCCAAATAAAAAAAAAAAAGCCCAAATAAAAATTTCACACCAAAACATTAATTTGCCATTTGCTTTATCTCCTCCTCTAGAAACGCCCCTTGGTATCCGAACGGCAAGGCTAGGAACATATGAACCTTAGATTTATTTTGGAAAATACAGGTAGCCTTCAACATAAATGGAATGTAACGACATAAGGATCCATAATAGCTATTTACATATGTTCGACCCTTCCCATAACAAATTGTACATAACCCTATTTCTTCCGGCCTGGTCTGGTATGGAATGAACTAATAATCTGATGATCGAGAGCTTCTATTCGATTTATGAACTCCTTGCTTACCTTATCCTTTTTTGTTCATTTGTAGAAACCCAATGACTGTTGTTGAGCAATTTTTGGATATCAAACGACCACCCTAGATGGTATTTTTAATTCACATTTCTTATATAGCTCATCAAAAACATCCAAGTATTAAACTTTATCTCAGGCTAAACGGGAGCTTCGAGATTCATCATCTCTGTCATAGTTTCCACTAATTTAGTTCAACTTTGAGCCACTTGTTTCCACTAATTTAGTTAAACTTTGAGCCACTTGTTCAGTAGGAGCACCTTGCCTTTTTTATTTTGAGACACCTCAAAGAGAGTATTAGGGTGGGGCTTCTTATATTGCCTAGATTCCAACATCGACTATGAAATTTTGAAAATAAAAAAGTTAAAAATATTAAAATGAAATACTTATTTTTACGTTGAATGGACAGTTTAAATAATGTGTTACAATATAATAGTTAATACCGATGATTTTTCGGACACCTTAGTTACAATTTTCTAGTCTTGAAGTGAGGCTTTACTTATTTTGATATGGCTGCAGCCAAACCATTTTTCTTTTATAAATTGAAAGTTGTTTCATGCGTCGTTGACTTACAAACGTGATGAATCTAAAGTGTACTAAAAAAAGTTATGGATGGTGCAGAAAAAAAATACTAAAAAGTTATATATTTAATTTTAAAAGGTTTATTTTTATATTCATTTATCATCTTGGCCTAGATGATAGATCTACAAAAAAAAAATAGAAAAAAATAATCTAAAATGAATTTTAGTATGGGGTCGCATATGTACATGTGAGTCGGCCGACTGATCCCCCCAGCTCTATAAATAAATCGAAAGGGACTTTCATCTCTTTGCATAACTTCATAACCAAGATTACACGCCCTCTTGTAGAGAAAGAACATAAAACGCCCCTCTCTCTCTCACTGCAACTCTCCTCTCCCTCTCTACTCGGGAACTCAGAATTTGCAGTAGCAACGAGCTATGAGTCGAGGAACAGGAGCTGGATATGATCGCCATATCACTATTTTCTCCCCTGAAGGTCGACTTTATCAAGTTGGTATGTATCCTTTCCCATAACTGCAACTGATCAGGAGATATGGCCTTGGAAATTAGGTTTCGTGAACTGGGGCTTGGAAAATTAGGGCTTATGGAATAGAACATTCCCTTCAAGAACAATTTTTTGACACGAAATTCCCATGAAGTATTTGTTCTTATATTCACAAAAAAGGTGTATGCGTTTCATGTTTGCTTGTATGAAGAGATTGTGCTATTGACATTCTTAGGTGTAGCTACACGCAAAAAAATAGTGTTTCCAGGGAGAAACCTTTGTTTTAATTGTTTTACCCTTTATGGATCTGTATAGGGAGTCAGTTTCTTATTATTGGTATGAAGTGACTTAACTTTGAAATTTGATATTCATTGAGGGTTTTAGTATGGATCATGCAAGAATTAGGGTTTAATGAAATCAAGGTTTCTCGTGGAAAGCATATATTTTTTCCTTGGGTTCTGTGGTAATTTTATACCGATATTCGGTGCTCTCGTGATTTGTCACTTATGATATACCCTCAGGGCTGTAATTGCGGCATCTATACTGTTTCATTTTTTTGGGAATAAGAATGCATCTATATTGTACCTTTAAAAGTAATGCAGTTATATCAATTTTGACCTCCTAGCAGCTGAAAGTGAAGTACGAGTTCCTAAGTACTAGGCTCCTTTTACTTTCTTTTCTTGATGGTTTAATTAGTGCGATTTCTCTGACATGAAATTTGTCTTTATGGTTATAATGTGTTTATTTATGTGTTCACTGTTGGTGAATTTATGTGTTCTCCAATGATTCATGAAACTGGAGGGGAAGTTTTATAGGACGGCTGTAGGACCAGCCATACTTAATGGGACTGAATGTAGGAGAAACATCATATCTATAGGATAAGTCACAAGTGTAACTGAGATAAGGATGCTGAGTTGGATGAGTGGCAAGACAAAAAAATATAGAATTCGAAATGAATACATATGAAGGAATTTAGGGGTGGCTCCAATTGGCGATAAGATAGGAGAAAGTAGACTTAGGTGGGCTGGCTATGTGCGGTGTAGACCTAATACAACACTGGTTGGGAGGGGCGATTTGGTTCAAATGGAAGGCTCTAAAAGGGCAAGGAGAAGGTCCAAAAGGACATAGATAGAAGTAGCGAAAATAGATATGGTGACTTATGGCCTGACTGAGGGTATGACCTTAGATAGAGTATACTGACAAAAAAGGATTCGTGTAGCCGACCCCAAATAGTTGGGATAAGGCTCAGGTGATGATGTGTTTACCATTGATGGTTTCCTGATTTTATTGTGAAATGATTCATCTAACATATAACATACTTCTACAACCATGGAGTATGGATGTGTGCATAATACAGTATGGCTGCATAAACTTAGGATTTCCTGATTGTTAATATAATGCTATTTGTGTACATAATTGATGGTTATGTTGCACTTTGGCTAATACATGGTAAGTGCGAACTCTTGTATATGGAGATCAGGTTATGATGATTGCTAATATGAAGTGATTCTGGTGCAGAGTATGCCTTCAAGGCTGTAAAGGCAGCTGGCATTACCTCAATTGGAGTTCGGGGCAAGGATTCTATCTGTGTTGTTACTCAGAAGAAGGTCCCAGTAAGTGATCTATCATCATATTTTTCTTTGCATGTTTGTTGTTATTTAAAACTGAATATGATTGAGGTTTCGTTTTTTCTTCATTTGATTGGTAACTAATTGTGTTTGAGTTTATTGTCCCAATTATGCATATCAGGACAAGCTCTTGGATCAGACCAGTGTAACCCACTTGTTTCCCATTACAAAGTATCTTGGATTGTTGGCCACTGGAATGACAGGTTTGCTTTAATAAGATGCCATACTGTTATGCTTATCAAATAAAAAGATGGCTTATGTAAGATGAATGGTTTTCTTTTTTTCCTTTTTTAATAATAAAAATGAATGGGTTTTGAATGGACCCTCCGGTTTAATTCCACTGTAGATCTGTTCTGGATCTGGAACCTATACCTCCTGACCCCAGCAATGCTGGCCACTCTGGGCTAGTCATCCATACACTTTAATAGAAATGTTTTATTTTCAATCATGAAATGATCTGTGAAGATATTCTGAACATGAATAGCTTATATGTCTATTGCAATCTACTAACAAAGTGAAAGTTGCAGTTTTCAAATGAAATGAGAAGAAAGACTTTACTTATTAATATTCCAATTTGTTTCATCAAAGTGTCATCTTTATGCTTATGATCCACCACGGATATAATTCTGGAGATGGCTACAAGATCAGTTTTTTTTAAGGTTTTACATATATTTGTGAAGTATCCTACATGGGTACTTCACAAACATCAATTCTTCTAAGGTTTTACATATGTTTGTGAAGTATCCCACAAGGATACAACCTCTATTTTGAAGTATCCATGCATCATAACTTCATATAATTGGACTTAGAAGGTACTTCATGATTTTTGTTAGGTCCCATGTCTTCCATATGTGTCGTGTCATTTCCTGTCATGTATTTGGAAATCACTATGTTTCGCTATTATAATCATGAAGAAAGAACCTCAGTGTGATCTGGAAGCGAAGTGAGATTCTTTGCTTTCAAGAAAACAGCCATTGATTTCAATGTTAAAGTTTTGGTGACTGTATCCCAGGGTGTACTATTTGGGCATGGATTGAACCCGCGGTGTTTAATTAATTATTTGTTGGTTTCTTCTTCCAGCTGATGCACGGTCATTGGTCCAGCAAGCAAGGCATGAAGCAGCTGAGTTTCGTTTTAAATGGGGTTATGAAATGCCTGTTGATGTGCTCGCCAAATGGTATGCTACTTTTGGTTCAACTGATGATTTGCCAAATTTCTTCTTGTTTATAAACATTCTTTCTTATATACAATATGCTAGGATTGCTATTCTTAGGTGTAAAACTTCTGTCCCTATTTTGTCTGGGACTTGGTGGTTATAAATTTTTTCTAGCACTGTCTTCGTATCAGTTTCTGGGGATAATATGTGTGAGCGAACTTGTTATTAGCTGGCCAAATTTCCCAAAAAAAAACTTGTTATTAGCTGGCCAATCATCTTCAATGTATTATACTCATTGTGATCTACCGATTACAATCCTCTAGCGAAAACCACACAAATCTGTCTGGAAACTATTAGTGTACTTTCTTACAAACATTTAATAGATCATGCTTGGGCATTTGATGTGCCTTTTGTGCACCCATACATATATACATGCATTCAAGCAAATGTGCGTCCAGACATACATGTTTTTATAGAGGCTCCCGCATATGCATATGCAAGGCAACATACATAACTACAAAGTCCAAGTACATTATCCATATATTTTTTCCTTTTCTTATAAATGAGTGTGTATTTTTTCTTCTCTGTAAAAAAAGTGTTCTTTTTAGTAATAAGTATCCTTGTTTTCCTTTCAAATAATAATTTTTTAGTACTTACAGATATCAAATCACGGTTTGGTTTTAAGGGGTCTATTAATGATATTGAATACCTTTTAAGATCTTGCAGATATCAATCATTTAATCTGGCATAGCTAGTCTCTTAGGAAAAGAGATGAAATTAACCATTAGCTTGCTGGTCGCATTTACAGACATGCATGTGCATTCAAATTCGATTAGCATCTTTTGCTTTTCAAGAATCCGTTAGAGCTTTAATGCCTTCTTCATTTCCTTTCAATGCTGACTTCTTTAGAATTTGACCTTTCTTCATTTCCTTTCAATGCTGACTTCTCTAGAATTTGACCTTTCTTTAGCGTCTTATTTAGATCAATTATAGTATCAACTCTCGCCATGCTGAGATTTCATACTTTTCTCTTGATGAGATCCTGAGATATTTACTCTTTTTCAAAGCAGAACAAGAAATGCTTCTTCCCTTGTCCCATTTTTGTTGGCAGTCTTTCAACATATACACCCAAAGTTCCTCAGCCTCCCTTTTCTTGTTGGATTGCTATTATTTTCTACCTTAATACTTCCAATTTATTTTTTCATTATTTTAAAGATCCTTACCTGAGATTGGACATTGGACCATGCCAGCTTATGATTCATAGCTATTTTATAGGTATATCTGTTGTTCCACTGAGGCAATTTGTAGTATATGTAGTTTATTCATGCTAGTTACCAGTGCAAATATCGTGTTTCTTGAATGGGATTTGGCTCACCCTATCCCATAAATTGAAGACCATCTTCCCCCCCTCTCAAAACACACTAACAAAACAAAAAGGTTGACTCATTGTATTAAGCATAGAAGATAAGTGTACAGCTTTTACAAAATTTAAGCCTCTTTAATCAAGGTGACTGAGCTAATTACAAAAATTTTGTTGGATGGCACCTCTTTGGCGAAGGCATCCGCAGCTGCGTGGGTTTCACACCATATATGTTCAAATGAAACATGCAATGGTCTACATAACTCGAAAATACAGCCAAATTGATTCCAGTCTGATGCATTGGGTTTTTTTATTTTTATTTTTTAATTTTACTATTTTTTAATTTTACTATTTTTTAATTTTACTATTTTTTAATTTTACTATTTTTAGATTTAGGTTGGGTTTTTAGTTTTCTTTAAGGATATTAGTGTATTTTTTTGAGGGGTATACATGATATTTAATTTAGAATTTTAGGTTATTTGTTTTGTTTTTGGGAAGCTTATCATGTGTTTAAGGATGTGGGATTGATAGTAGGAGTTGTCTTAGTTAGAGAGAAAGAGTAACGTTAGCTTAAAAGGAAAAGTCCTATTTTTATGGACTTGAAAAGTCGGAGTTATCTTTTAGTTAGAGAGAAAGACCTATTTTTATGGACTTTAGAAATTTAGAAAAGATTCCCATGGAGAGATCGATGTTGGATTGAGGAGAGAGAAGATAGGAAGAACTAGAGATTCATGTGAGGAGAGAGAAGATAGGGAGAGCAAATAATAGGAGAGAGAGTTGTTTTTTTGTGGGTTTCTATTTATTTATTGTTTCTTTTAAAGTGTATTCAAAGGGAAGATGTCCCTTCTTTGTTAACAGAGTGATTGGTTATTTAGTAAAGAGTTTGATCTCGTGAAAAGATCTTATGGTGGAATCCCTTACAGACCCAAAGAGGGTATAATCTCTCAATATTTTTAATTTTATTTTAACTTCTGGTCTATTATTATTTTTTTACCTCCATCAATTGGTATCAAAGCCTTGAGATCAAAGATCCATATACCATATGGAGCGTTTGGATCAATTTGATCAAATATTTGAGCAATTGGATCAACAATTCTATAGACACATGGAATACTTTCGCATATCAATACAACAATATCTACAAGATCAACTTTGTACGTTGCAAAAAGAGGAACAAGAAAAGATAGATCTCTATACAAAAGATGATATCGATAACCCAAACATGCAAGAAATTTTGAAAATCAATTGTAAAGAAAAAGATAAGTGTGTTGCAACTTATGAAATACCACCCTATGAGCCTGAAGGAGAAATCAAGATTCAGTTTGGTATTCTAGAGCTCGGTGTTTCAGACTTCTGCTACAAATAGTGTTAGATCATTTGTTTATTTGAAGAAGAAAAAATACCTAGAAGAATTGCATCATCAACTTTTGGGAAGGCTTCTAAAAGATTTGAGTTCAACAAGCTCGAGGTCGAGTTTCTTCCAACCCTTGGAGATGATGTAGTGGGTTTTTTATTTTATTTTTTTAATTTTACTATTTTTGTATTTGTAGATTTAGGTTGGGTTTTTAGTTTTCTTTAGGGTTATTTTTGTATTTTTTGTTGTAGAGATTTGAGAGGTATACAAGATATTTAATTTAAAATTTTAGGTTACTTGTTTTGTTTTTGGGAAGCTTATCATGTGGGGGATGTGGGGATTCATAGTAGGAGTTATCTTTTAGTTAGAGAGAAAGAGTGACGTGAGCTTAAAAGGAAAAGTCCTATTTTTATGGACTTGAGAAGTAAGAGTTATCTTTTAGTTGGAGAGAAAGACCTACTTTTATGGACATGAGAAATTTAGAAAATATTCCCATGGAGATATTGACATTGGACTGAGGAGAGAGAATATAGGAAGAAATAGAGATTCAAAGAGTGAGATAGAGTTATATTTTTGTGGACTGTTTTTTATCTATTTATTTATTGATTCTTCTAAGTGTATTTAAACGGAAGATGTTCTTTCTTTGTAAACAGAGTGCTTGGTGATTCAATAAAGAGTTTGTTCTTGTGAAAAGATCTTGGGGTGGACTCCCTTGCAAACCCAGAGAGCGATAGAATCTCTCAATCCTTTTAATTTTATTTTGATTTCTGGTTTATTATTATTATTTTCCCTGCATCAGAGTCTCCAAAGTCCAGACATGGGGATGCTCTAGTTGCCCACATAGTTACGAGTTTTTAATCCCTTCAACTAGAAGGGCTCGACCCAACTAGTGTTGAACCTTTTTAGGCCCTCATGAGGTCTTGTGCCTCAACCATCTTGGAATTTGGTGCCGATAGAAGTGAAATAAGACAGTAGCAGTTGTGCGGAGTCATATCTAGAAACACTAGCTATACCCGGTGGTTCTGGATATTCAAGTGAGCAAACATCAAAGTTGAGTTTGATGGTCCCTTTCTTTCATGGCCTCCAGTGGCTTAATCTTGGGATAAATAATTATCCAGATCCAGTTACTTTCAAAGTCAGTTGATGAGAAAGCTCAGAATTGTTTATGTTTACACGCACAAAAACCAACATTGCCGTGATTTTCCTTCCTTAGTGCTTCTATTCAGGTTTCTCGATCCTCAAAAATACGGATGGCCCATGTCTTGGCAAGACTGAGGCTCGCCGCAATAATAAACAAAAAGAAGGGTAAGGGGGTGAAAAGAGCTCTGTGAAGTGCTTTTGTACCAATTGTGGGGTCACCCAGACTCATTCAAAGCTTTGGATCATGCTAGATGGCAACTGGCTAGCCTCCAAACAGTGGATGAAAGATGACTGATGGTTTCCTCTGAAACTTTGCACATAACACATTGATTGGATGGGTGAATCCCTCGTTGCTGTAATTGGTCAACTGTGAGGACTCCGTTGGATATAACTAGCTGATCAAAGGCCTGGATTTTAACACGCTAAACCATGCCTTATTAGCTGCAACCAGGGAATTAGAACGGGTTGATAAAAGAATTAAGAACCACCCAGACGAGGCAGGTTGATCCCTTCCAACTCGAGAATTATATTCTGACTTGAAAAGCTCCAGCGATGCCATTATTCGTGGTATCTCCGACTCTGCTAGGTAATTTGGCATCCAAACTACCTTGTTACGATTGGGCTACAGTGGCATTCTGGTCTATGGCTAAAGGGTATAATCCTGGTAAATTTTGTTCCAGGGCACACTCACCCACAAATGGATCCCACAACAGCCGGACCCTATCCCTTGTTTCACCGTAAACCAAGGTTTTAGAACGGTAGGTCAAACTTGAATTGCCCTGTCTGATCCAGGGCAATCTGGATCTAGGGAAGCCCAGAACAGCCTGCTTACCAACAGTTTTCAGATTTTGTTTTTGAAATTTTTAGTTGTATCCGTACACCGATTTGAATCAGTGAATAGCCGATCAAAGAAGGGCAGGATGACATTGTTCTTTTCCATGCTTTAGAAGCCTGAGCATTTGCAACATCCTTGGGTAGCCAGCCGATCTCGTCAAGACCATGGTTATTCTGGAATGGATAACTTGCTGCCACATGACCATTTGATTTCGCAAAATGCATAGTTTTCGAATGCGATTGCATCACAAATTCTGTAGCTGCATTGAAACGGATGCTCCCATGGGCGTACGCATCCCGCCTATGCAGAATTTCTTGATGTGCCTCCATAATGGGCACATCGACTGGATATGCAGGGCCATTGCATGATGTGTTATGCACATGCATGTGCAGGTGGCTGCTCATGGGAAGAAAAATACCCCGGACTATAGGCATTTTGGTCATTCCCCCATGAAAAGGAAAAAAAAAACGAAAAAAGAAAGTGGGGGGGAGTTTGGAAGGGATACCCCCAAGAACCTTTTCTATTTTTACATGGATTAAAGGGGACTAAATTGTGGAAATTGCAAATCATAATTTTTTTTTATCAAAACTCAAAGAATAAGATAAAATTTGGGCATTTTTTGGGGGACCATTTGAGTTTGTCTTTTGCATTTGTTTGAGGATCTCGGGCAAAGAATTACCAAGTAATTGAGGTGTCAAGGGGCCAAAAGATTAAGACCTAGAAATTGAAATCTCTTTCCATTTTGGGTTGATAATCAAATTTTATTTTATCTTTCATGGACTTTTGGTCTTTGGAGTTTGGATGTTATGTACTTATGTAGTACTTTCGGTCTTCGGATATTGTATCAGGCTATTTACCATTTTGGGTTTTGGTTTTATGCTACAGCCTACAGTGTAACAGCTTGGTTGCTCGATGCTACTAGATTTGTGTGGTTGGTCACTTGGTGTATATTTTATTTAATAATAGATACAGCAAGCTGTATTACTCCTGGTCATGCTATCAGCGACTTAGACGATGGATGTATTACAGACATTCTAAATTTAGAGTTTCTACCATCACATAAATCATATATATTATCCTTTGCATCAAACCCCCCTACTGAATCGAGTCTGCATCTTGCATTTGATGACACTGGCAGAGTGCCACCACCATTCCGAGCAACACTGTGTGACAATTCCTGGGATTTATAATGCCCATGCCTCTGAATTTTTTGGTTTAGAACAGTGTTAGCAGACTCAGGTGAATTGACTCGGGCTCGCCTAAGTGACTTGGGCTTTGCGGGCTGCCAAGCCCACAACACCATCCAACTCAAGGGTCTATAAGCTTTTTAATTAATTATAATTAATTATAATTGGTGTATAGTTGATTTAATCTTTGACTATAATTACAATTTATTTATATTATGTATATGTTTTTATGATTTTTAATGATTTTTTCTTTGTTTTCTCTGTTCTTGAGAAAATGATCTTTGACTAGTTTTGTATTTCATCTATATTTTTAGAACTTTTTCTAATCTTTATATGGTTATGTTGTTTATCATTTTGTTTGTTCCCACGATCTCTACTGATTTTCAGGATTTTTGTCAATGTTTTTGGGTTTTTTTGCTATTTGGGCAACTTGGTGCGGATTCGGGTGAGTACTCGGACTCGCTGTCACTTGGACCACCAAGGTCCAAATTTCACAGCCGAGCTGTGTTTTCCTACACTAGTTTACACTCTGTCTCATCTGCGGAACTTATGTGATTGAACACCGGATGACAAAAAATCCCTCATCAATGTCTCTAATCTGTTCATTGTGTACATCATCATGCTGAACAAAGATATCTGAAACACTCGTGTGTTCAAGAAAGTGGCTTTTATAAGAGTAACTTTTCATCCTAGCTACAGGTATCTGCCTCTCCATGCACACAGCATCCCATTGTTATTTTCCGGGGTGCCACGAGGGAGGCCCAAATACTTGGTAGGTGGGGAGTCGGTTCCACATGTTTGTCAGCTCCAATTCAGTCTGTGGCCTGACTCATACCTGTGGAGACTTCAAACCATCTTAGGAACAACCAAAGGTCACTATTTGCTGAAGGTTTTTATCGCAAAGGACTAGAGTGTCATCTCCATATTCTAGATGAGAGATAGAAGGCCCCCCAGAGGAAAAGCGACTTCAGAGATGCACAGTAGATTAAACATAATATAAGTCAAGGTTCCTATACTTCTAAAACAATTATAGTCGTTAAATTTTGTTCCTTTGAATAAGTAATTGGTATTTGAAGGTTTTTTTTTTTTTCTGAAAGTGAAATGGTATTTGAAGGTAGTGTCATTTATTGTTGTGTGAATGTTTGTATTGCATGATCTCTTTCACTGACACTAGTTGTCCTTTTTGTTTGTATAATTAACCCCACTGTATGTATATGTAGGATTGCGGACAAATCCCAGATCTATACACAGCATGCATATATGAGACCCCTTGGAATAGGTATGCTACTTCCGCTTCTATTGTGGATTCTTTTTTTTGCATTTCTTAATTTAAAACTCTGGGTTGTGAACTTGATGTTTTCCTTTGGTTTGGTGGTACTGTGATTGAACTTCATTTGTTTGTTCTTGTTTTTATTTTTAATTTGTCCAGCTGCTATGGTTTTGGGTATTGACGAAGAAAAGGGGCCTCAACTTTTCAAATGTGATCCAGCTGGCCACTTTTTCGGCCATAAGGTATTTGAGTACATCATTGTTCTCTGATTGAGATACAGTTTTTCCATGTCTGAAATTTGCTGTTTCTTTTTCATTGGCACCTTTAGGGACTAAATTCCCTAATAGGCACCAAGGATAGTAGATTCATCTTTATTGACTTTGTCACCATCATTCTTGTTGCCTTCAGTATGAGAATGTTATTGCACATTTTTTCTCATGTCTTCTTTTTCTTGTAAAAGCTATGGGCAATTCTAAGGATGAGATGGTTCCTTGGGATTCACTGGGTCATGGTTTTATTGAGAACCATAATCAGTTATTAAATATTTCTTCTTTTCACTTCCGAGCTGCTTTAAGATTGTTAGAATCCTTTGTGCCTTGTTATAGTTTTGTGCCTATTTTTCTTATTGTTGCTCATGTGACCCAATACATACATTTGTATGATGTCTTGATGTCTTTCTTTGTCATCTTTCAGAGCTGAGCTTTATTTTTCTTTCCCCGTTTTTTGTTGCCTTTTAAGTAGGTCCTTCACCAGTTTTGAAATTTAATAATGGATGGTATCTGCAGTTCCATGGGGAAAATTGTGGTTTCATGATTACCTGTAGCTTTTTAAATGATCTGAGTTTCCATTCATAAGTAGTTGATCGAAGTTATCTGACTTATAATCCTTTCCCTTTCCATTTTGAAACTTAGATTTGTGCCTAGCCTATGGGATTTCATTCTAGAGTTTGATTCCTTGGTATATGCTTTAGGATAAGTTCTAATTTGTTATTTGCTTCATTTTTCAAGGCAACAAGTGCCGGCTTGAAAGAACAAGAAGCAATTAACTTTTTGGAGAAAAAAATGAAGAATGATCCTGCCTTCTCCTATGAGGAGACTGTACAGGTAAGGCTATGTTTCCTTGCTGACTTCTCTGGATTGTTTTGAAGTTTTAACAAGTGTTCTGGTACCTTTCAACTTGAAATCACAATCTATGCTTGTTTTTGTAATCAATGAATAAAAACGAGAAAAATATGTACATTGTTTGTTATTATTTTACATTTATTGAAAACTTGATGGTGTTTAAGTTTATATTATGTCAATTAACATTAGGCGGTCCACATATCACTGCAACCAAAAGTGCTTGTGCATAAGATAGTGAATCAGATCATTCATGTTATGAAATAGCTAAATAAATTGTAACAAGGGGACGGATTGTGACTTATAATGTCTATTCTTTTAGGAAATTTAATTGATTGTATTTTTCAGTGATAGTCATGCTTTAGAAGTAGAGAGATTGTCGTGAAGAAGTTTAAGGCCTTTTGCCGAAAGGGTCATAGGGGTTTGATATATCATTGAGATGCTTTAATAATGTAGGATATATTCTAGAATCAAGATTAAACATAAAGGTGGCATATTTCAAGCCTTCAACTTGTTTTTCTCTCAGAATCTTTTTAAAAAATAGAAAAGCTCATTCAGAATGGGTTGATAGGTACTTATGAAAGTATATGAAACAAATTTTCTTCACTTGGCAGTTGGCCTTATTTTGGCACTAATCTGGGTTCAAATTGTCATTGTCAACAGGCTTCATAGCTCAGATTTGATGGTCTGGTTTGAGGAAAGAAAACTAAATTTTCGTACACTATCATTTCGTTGTTATTATTGTTGTAGATTTTTCCTTGCAAAGCAATAACCCTTTACTGTATTGATAACACAATTTCATTAATAAAGGAACCTTTGAAGATAAGAGCAAAAAAAAGTGAAGCAAATTCCGGGGTGGCAATGGCATCACAATGAAGGGCTACCCATCCTCAATATCCATCTTTACAAATGAAGACTCCATTCCCTGCCTGTTATCTGCCAAGGCAACCAACTTCCACATTTCCCCAACATAAAATCAAAGCAGGTTAAAAATTACATTTTGAGACTCTGTGTGTCAAAATTTCTTCCATTGAAGCTGTCAAATGCCAAGGAGGAGGAACTTCCTTCTTAGCCCACTTAAGGCAGTAACTGTCAACGGTGATAGACTGCCCGAACTGATTAACACATCCTTAATCCTATAAACAACTCTTTTACTTCTGCAACCATGGAATTACAATCAGAAAGGCCCCAAATACCTTGGGTTTCCTCACCTCTGCATCTCTAAAGATATCTGATGTAGTTGGCCCTTGGTGCCATGTGAACATTCTTCAAAAGAACCAATAAAAAAACTACATCCTTCAAAGTAAGCAAGATCCTTCAGATACAGATCGGACCAAGTCTTTGATGGATGAGCACCCTCTTAGGTTCCAATTTTTCGATAAATCCACTGCCCTTGCCCATCTTGAATCCTCTCTCTTAGAACATCGACTACAGTGCATTCTTTTTACACTTCAACTAATATTTAGGAAGGAAAACCTGTTGGATACCCTGGTGTTGGGTGGTTTTTTGAATCATCCTAGAGTTCTAAAGAACTTAAAAGGAGCTTAAAGAGCCTTTGCTCAAGTCCAAATGTTGAAATTACTCTATATCATCACAAGTGCAGGTCTAAAACCTTGAGACAAGCGGATGTTTGATCAATAAGGATTGAGACTGTAACTTGAATGGCAGTCTCACACAATGTATCAGATTCAGACCGGATTTGGCTTCAAACTCTCTAACCGCCTTCAAAATGTGAAAGATGGCTCGAGTCAAATGGTTTTCAGAGCGCAATGAACTCTAAAGTTGATCCAATTTGGATCAAATACGTCATAAAGATCAAAATGCACAAAGTTGAATGACTTATTTAGATGTTCTGGATTAAAATTGCCAAGTCGAGGCAAATATCGTGGGGAATTTATATATGATTTCATCCATTTGATTTGCAAGGTAATAATTTTTTAAATTGATGGAAATATGATCACAATAATCAATATTATGTTCGAAATACTATCTGTTTGGATCAAAATCACATCATATGCTATGCTTATCCACGTATTGGGTATCTTTTATGGCATTGTCTACAAAGGGCCCATTTATTTTTTGTACATGGGGGTCACGATTATTCTTGTCCCATAAATTTCAAAATGAGTGGTTGTAAGAGTGCCATTGAATAGACACAAAATTCCAAAAAAATAATTTCTCAGACTTTGTGACTCATCCCAAGCCATCCAATTTGACATCTAATGAGTGGGAATGATTGTGTGATTGTGACCTCTATGTATAAAAGAAACATGGTCTCTTTGTAGACAATCCAATTTTTTATCTACCAAATCTGATATCAGTTTTTGATAAGATAAACTCAAATATAGAGAAATCCAATCCCTTGCATGCAAATGCGCTATTGCAATCTCTTATGCAGTACACAATATATTTGGAGAAAAAGCTCATAAATATACGGATATGTGAGCAGAAAACTCATGAATATGCATCATACCATAAATAGACTCAAACTTTGTCCTACCGCAGTCAAAAGTTGCGAAAGGACATTGTCATAAAATCCCAAGTATAGGCATGAATATGGCATATGAATATCCTGAATATGGCATATGAATATGTCCTAGGGAATTTTTGTTATATTTTGGACACTCTTTGACAAGCGTCAACATGGGGTTAATCCATTTAATCGGGGAGCGCTATTCCATTTGGCGGGTGCTTATAGTTGGAAGTTTATCTTGTTTCCCAATGAAGGAAATCTAGTGTTGGACATTTCAATGTAAGCACATGTTGAATAGTGATTTACCACATTCATTGGACTATTGGTGCCAGACAGTTGCGGCAGTTTGTAGGCCATTCTCTTTTATGAAGCAAAATTTTCAGTAAATTTCCCACTGGTATCTTGTCTTATTGAAATGATAAAAAAAAATCTCCAGTTCTCATTTAAGTTTTCAAATATTTAGACGTGTTGGTTGATATAACTTGTTTGATCTGCACCATGCAATGTTCTATACTGGTTGAAATATGTTGTTTCTTAGGATATGACTTCAGCTATTCTTTGGCTACTTCAAGCTGGTAATGAATCTTTGTATTGAGTGTTTATCCCTTTTATCTGGCAGAGAGAGCATCTTCAATTTCATTGTCAAATAATTGGGGTTTGTACAAATTGTGATATGCATCTCAGAACATGTGTCGCTAGGTTAACATCATGATATTATGTAATATGCTCACTTGATAGTTTATGATATGCATTTGAGTTTTAGCAAATGGTATGTTATCTACGCAACTTTTCAACTGCCTGCTTCCCATGATATTGCAGTACGTACTTCTCTGACTGCATCAAATCTTTTAGTGATTTATTTGAAGATTCTTAGCTCTATACATGCTTGTATCTTGCAGACTACGATTTCTGCCCTGCAATCAGTTCTCCAAGAAGATTTCAAGGCCACTGAGATTGAGGTATCACCCTTCACCTTATCTTCATTTGTCCAATCGTTCTTTCCTGTACTGATATATAAGTGTTGAAAAATGAGTGATGGTACACATGTGACTGATGAGTGATTGCTTACTGTGTCCATCTCTTTATGTTGTTCAATGTATTAGTATGAGAGGCAACATGAATTTTACATACAAATGGAGACATCTCACACCTGTGATGCACAGATATATGGTTTCCATGCAGCTAAAACACCATAATTAGCTGTTTTTTCATACAGTTTCGAAACATCTAACAAAAATGTGGAGCTCAATTTGAAGTATTCTTGCATCTTAGTCCTACACACTCAAGCCATTGTATGCAGGGTGTTTTGCAAATCAGGATAGCACTTTTTCTTTTATGAAAATGCAAACTCACTGAAACCATCCTAAAGACTGTCTGATATATTGTTTTAAATAATAACAATAGTAATCATCAAAGCCTTTTCCCAACTATTTGGGGTCTGCTATATGAATCTTAGTCTGTCATTTTGCCCCATACCCTTAATAAGGCCATAAGTCCCTAATAATAATAATAATTATTATTATTATAATAATTATAATAATAATAGCAACAACAGCAACAACAACAACAACAACAACAACAACAACAACAACAATGGTAGTAGTAGTAGTAATAATAGTAATAAAGCATCCTAGAGCTCTATTGCTCTAACAAGTCAGCGACTTAGTCCTTTTATAAATTGTTGAACTAGATTTTAAATTGCAAGATAGATTGGGTCTAATAAAAAATAACTGCCATCCTCCATGGTCCTATTATGATGGTGTTCCTTTGAGGAATTTTATCCCCTATCTGCACATGTTTGTACTCAACCCACCTGCGAATGGTTGGTACCAAAGAATTTCTTTTTTCCCCTTTATGGGTGTTTGAATGTTATTAGAGTCCCTGAGCAGTGCGTTGTGACCCTTCCACTCTTTTAAAGCAATAAACAACATGGCCTTTGATGCCTTGAGCCTCAAAATCTCAAACTTTAGGATTCCACACTACGTGTTTCGTCCACAAGTGTTTCCTGCAGCCCTCTCACACCCTTACCTAATACCCTTGTGACGATCCTATTCATGAAATATATTGTGCCCTCGAAGTCCTATTTAATGTCCTATCCCCCCTTATTTCAACAACCTCCTATGCCCTAGGTATACTTATTTACTATAGTCCTATTCCTACTCTGAAGAGAAGCCCCAAACTTCATCATCATCATCAACATCATCATAACCTTTTTCCAATTAATTGGGGTCGGCTGCACGAATCCTGGTCCACCATTCTGCTCTATTAAAGGTCATACACTCAGCGAAGCCATAAGTCTCCATATTTTTCCGAACTATTTCCAACCACATCCTTTTGGGCTTACCCCTTACCCTTTTAAGTCCTTCCACTTGAACTAACTCGCACCTCGTAACTTAACATGTGTTTTACTTGGTTGGCGACACATGACCAGCCCACCTAAGTTAACTCTCTTTCATCTTATTGCCTATTGGTGCCACACCTAAATTCTCCCCAATGAATACATTTCAAATTCTATCTCTTCTTGTCTTGCTACTCCTCATTTCCGCTGCACTCGTTCTATGTGTATATTGTTTTTTGTCCACCCTACATTCAGCCCCATAGAGTTATTCCCTATGCTTAACTCCCCTTTAGCTTACAAGCATCCCAACTAAGTGAGTTATTATGAGAACGAGAACCCTCTCTAATCTAGGGCAATATTCTGCATAGTCTATCCAGCTTCCTTAGAATCAACTCATCAAGATAGTTCTATTGATAACACTGTCTGTCCGCATTGGGTCTTTATCCTGTGTTTTAGAATTGATGAAAGTTAATGAGAAAACTAATGTTTTGAAGATATGTGAGCTGAGCCACTTCACCACTATCTTGTGGTTCCTGGAGGTAGCCTTTATATGGTTGGTGCCTTGTCAGGATATCCTAGAGAGGCCCACCGGCTACACATGCAGGCTTGCTTGGACGCATAGTGGTGGATACATCTTTGTACTGCCTGGTCTGGAAAATCAGAATTGTTGCATATATATGAACTTTTAAATGGTTGTGCCATATGATTGCTTGATTCATGTTTCATTTTGTCAGGATCTAGAAGTTCTTTTTTCCTTATGGAAAAGTGTTCGGTGTGTTAGGAGATGCAGTTATGAACTGCCTCCCCTGACATATGAACCGTCTAGTTCCAATGGGTGGTGCAGATTGCATGCGAATCTTGATTTTTGGGCATGATCTGCACCATTAGATTTAGGGTTCAGTCCAATCGTGCTGCATCCCCTGACACACCAAAAGCGGATCTTTTTCTTATTAGGCCCACATTTGTTTTTTTTTGAAAGATTTATTAGGCCCACACATGTACATAACAATGCATCTTCATCTCTATTTTGACTATATGTGGACTTGGCATTATAAAATTTGAGGTTTAGGGAACTATTTGAGCAACTAATAATTTTCTGGTCTTGGGCAAGTGCTTGGGCTTTAAGGTATTTAAGTATTTTGCATTTTAGGTCTAAGGACCATGCACATGAGGAAGTGCAATAATGCATGAGTGGTTTTAATATTAGAATATGATGGTGTAATTCAATTTTATGCTCAGCAGGAAAAGAGGTTTTCATGTGTGTGTGTGTGTGTTGTTTTTTGTCCAACACCCCTTTAATAGTTAGCTTTGCAATGTGTGCTCCAAAAAACGCATAGGTTGTTTTGTTTTTGGGACAAACTTCAAGGGCATGAGTCCTTGACCGCCCTATCCCAAAGAGGTAAGTCTACCTCTCAAAAAGGGACTGCAACATGTGCTCCAAAATCTTTGAAAGATGTATTATTGTGTATTTTTGTAAAACTATTTTAGGTACGGGCACTCTTTCATTAAGAAAGATAAAAAATGGCTGAGATTTAGGCAATGTTGGCTTGCAGAATAACTTGCAACCTTCCCCACTAGAAGATTGCACGAATCGTTTCAAGTAAAGATATTTAGTCAGTGAAATGCATTGAGGGTTGCTACATGTAAACAGAACAAATTATCAATGATTGTTTCCCAATATGTTGCGCAGGTAGGAGTCGTGAGAAGGGAAAATCCAGTTTTCAGAGTGTTGTCCACAGAGGAGATTGATGAACATTTGACAGCCATAAGTGAACGTGACTAAATTTGCTGGTGGCCCAATACTTATGGGACCAATGGTACTCCATTTCTCCTTCTAGTTTTTGTTTTTGCCTTTGACAAGTGATCTTGGTACTTTTCGATTCAATGGCCAGTGGCCCTTTCAAACTTGATTCAGGTTGAAGAGCTTCAGATTGATATATACATGATCAGGCATTATGATAGTTGTATTTTTAGTGCAATTATGATCTCATCAAGATCTCCCAAAACAGACTCATTGTTGAAACTAAAATTTCATCGTTTCAGTTATTTATTTCTCTGATCAATGAAATAGCTGTCTTGTGTTTCTTTTGGTTAAAAGAAATCTAAATTACAGGCAAACCAATTTGGTGCAGAGGGAGAATTTCCTTTGATTAATGTTTTAGGAATATGTTTCATATAATGGATTATATTTTTACAAAGCTTCAATTACTCCCGACAATCCATTATTTAGGGTAAAGTTAAGAAATTATTGCCGTTTAAAAGATTTATGGTGGGCAAATGTGGTGTTCTTTGTTTGATATCATGAGATAGTTTAACACAGGCTGGAGAATATTCTGATTTTGGCCCCCAAAGGTTCTCTCATTTGGGGCATGTAGTCCTCAAGTATTGACACAGCTATTCTGTGAATTCCAACTGTCCATGTTAGGTCTCTTACCCATACTAAGCCCGTTCATTTCTCAAGGCACCAATTGTGTATGGTCAGGGAAACACTCCAATTCATTTTGGCATTTTATGACTTTTTCATATTCTATTAACTCATTTGCAAAGTGGCATATACGGAAAAGAATTAAAGCTGCATTTGAAAACCATGTCAAAAAATGCATTTACTGAAAACTTCAATTGGCAGAAATAGATTTTAAGACCACAAATTTGTGTAGCTGAAATTGCATTTTCTAGTGGGGTTGAGGCTGGGCTGTACTTTTGAGGTAATTCGTGGGCCTTGTGCGAGATACACCCTCCATTTTATAGGCCTGAAGCCATTCAACGTCGCATGTCAATATGTGTTAACACACACTTCTATATATATATATATATATATATATATATATATATATATATATAT